ACAGAGTCATGGCAACACTGTCACCACGTTCTGGCTACACCGCTTCACCTTGCCTAGGGAAGGACATAGTTATGGACTTATGGCAACACTGACACCACGTCCTGGCTACACAGTCCCGGCAATCATTGTACCGCCACTCACCGAAGTGGTGCCACATGAGGTAGTCCACGGTACCGGAAGTCATGGTACCAGCTTTCAGTTGGTGGATGTTGAGTTTCTGATACCCCCACTCCAGCCAGCCTGAGGTGCCCACTGCGCAGTTGATCAGGACCAGAGCATCAACCTGCAAGGGACCGCCATTACTGATATGTTCTCAAATATTATATATTGACACCATTATATATTGAGTGGAAGATTATATTTAGACACCATTATATATTGAGTGAAAGATTATATTTAGACACCAATATAATATAACCTAAATAGTAAACCATTATAACATTACAATTACATTTTGTTAAGTAAAATGTCTCTCGGCAAATCGGCATTACTAATTGTAGTTATCCTATGAATATATATTAACATTTGACATCTCAATTAACACTAATTGTCTATGCATTTACATTAACATTGAAAAATCATATTATAATAATTACCCATTGTATTTAATTATTGACATTACTTATTAAAACTATGGCTTGTGCGACAATCCCTGAAAAACTCGTTAAAAAAATATCATAGTTTGTGCCGCAGTCTTTTCTTTATTTTTGTGAAACTAATGCTAGAAAACGTTTTGATTTCTGGCTAATTTTCAATAACTTGAAACACGGAAAGCTCATAACAATTAACATAACATAACATAGTGATGTCGGCGCTGAAGAGTAGGCCTGATGTGGCCTGTCGCCGATTCTTGAACTTTTGTGACTTGTTCACTGAATAGCCTTATGTAAAATCGTGTCATTTGACCAGATCTTTTCAAGACTGGCGATGGTTTGAAATAGCTACTAGACTCCCACCGGGTTCGATATGGTGCTAGGCATTTCAAGTCTGAACATATATTTTTACATTGCTTTATCTAGTCTGTTCTTGAACGCGTTCATATTCGGAGCGCCAACGATGTCATCAGGGAGGCTGTTCCACAAGTTGGTGATTCTAAGCGAGAAGAAGTGTTGTCGCGTTAATAAGTTGCAGCGCAGTTTTTTTAGTTTATAGCCATGGCCCCGGTGTTGGTTCATGATAAAAAAGATATTCATGTAATGAAGTACGAGGGCTCATTTCATCATCGCTTCCAGAATCAAAAGACATCGTACATTTCTTATGCTTGTAGGTTACCAGAATCCGTGTCAGACGTTGTTTTATTTAAGGAGTCAAGAAGTAAGGGCAGAGCGACAGAGGAGGGAAGTACTTCAGACTTCTACAAATAACCACACGCACACGCAATGCATGATGAGGTTGCTTATACACGGGGCTATTAGTTGCGTCTACTAGGCGAGGCTACTAGAATTTGTGATGTTTGATATGTTCAGAGGCAACTAGCTGGTTCATTGCAAGCAAGGCAACAAGAGTTGTTTTGAAGCAGTCTATTGCGCTCAGTAGCCGCCCGGCCGTCATACCGAGCATAAGGTGCTTATACACGGGGCTATTAGTTGCGTCTACAAGGCGAGGCTACCAGAATTTGTGATGCTTGATGTGTTCAGAGGCAACTAGCTGGTTCATTGCAGGCAAGGCAAAAAGAGTTGTTTTAAAGCAGTCTATTGCGCTCAGTAGCCACCCGGCCGTCATACCGAGCATAAGGTGCTTATACACGGGGCTAGTAGTTGCGTATATTGGTTGCGTCTACTACAGTTTTGCAGGTCGCGAGCCTATACACGAGTATAGTGTATTTGGTACACTGCGCCCGCGTCTGTGCGACGTTGGGAGTTGTTGAATAAGGGTGTGCTCGGTGGAGTCATGCGAGAGCAAGACAGCAGTGCGCACTACAGTGGGCGAGAGAGAGAGCGACACAGCTATACTCGGTATGACGGCCGGGCGGCTACTGAGCGCAATAAGTAGACGCAACCAATATACGCAACTAATAGCCCGACTCTATTGGTCAATAGAAAACTTCAGAGCGCTTACCTTAGGTCGTATAAGCGGCCGACTGCCCAAGTTATAACGAATAGAAAAACTTGGAAACCAAGCCCTTTCTATAGTTTGGGCGATGTTGCCAACACATCGGCTTCAAAATAGTCTAAGCTAAATCATAACAATTCAGTTTATAACATAGATATTAAGAACACAATCTAAGACGAGGGGATGGTTCAGGCTGGTATACACAACATTGACCCCCCATTTAGAGAGTGTGTCAGGTTGTAGGGAGTCAGGTAAGTATAACATTGACCCACATTTTGCGGGTGGGTCAGGTTGTAGGGAGTCAGGTAAGTATAACATTGACCCACATTTAGAGGGTGTGTGAGGCTGTAGGGAGTCAGGTAAGTATAACATTGACCCACATTTAGAGGGTGTGTGAGGCTGTAG